GTCCCCAGATAGGCACTAGATCCCTTTATAGGCACAGGGTCCCCAGATAGGCACTAGATCCCTTTATAGGCACAGGGTCCCCAGATAGGCACTAGATCCCTTTATAGGCACAGGGTCCCCAGATAGGCACTAGATCCCTTTATAGGCACAGGGTCCCCAGATAGGCACTAGATCCCTTTATAGGCACAGGGTCCCCAGATAGGCACTAGATCCCTTTATAGGCACAGGGTCCCCAGATAGGCACTAGATCCCTTTATAGGCACAGGGTCCCCAGATAGGCACTAGATCCCTTTATAGGCACAGGGTCCCCAGATAGGCACTAGATCCCTTTATAGGCACAGGGTCCCCAGATAGGCACTAGATCCCTTTATAGGCACAGGGTCCCCAGATAGGCACTAGATCCCTTTATAGGCAGAGGGTCCCCAGACAGGCACTTGACCCTCAGACATGCACAGGGTCCCCAGACAGGCACTTGACCCCCAGACATGCACAGCGAGAGGAGAACCCGTGTAGTGGTGACAAATGGAGCAGTATAACACAGACACGGATTGTGACCCGGCACTATAGCCTGGAATTGATCTCTATCGATCAGAACTGATCACTTTTGCAGCAGAATGGATAATAAACTTACCGCCACGTCCAGCTCCAGCATCAGAGCCGTCTTCTCAGCCTCCTCGGTGGTCAGACGCGTCGCCTGGGCGATCGGAACCCCGACAACGGTTTCTCCGGGATAAAGAGAGGCGGGGTCGGCTTCCTGCGATCAGAGGACATAGGACGCAATCAGTGGCGAGTTCTCAGACCGCTGGGCACACTCCCTTGCCAGTCCCTTACACCCCCCCGAGGAGCAGTTAACCCCTTGCAGTGCCGGGGGCAGCCCCCATGAAAACACCAAAATCTGAAAGCACCGATCACCAAGTGACACCCGGTAACGAGGACTCACCTCTCCGTCACAGTCTGGGATTTGGACATCCATGTACGGGAAGGGCAGACTGGGCACGGTGAGGCTGGACTGGCAGAGAGGCGGCACGGAGCGGGCCAGCGATGGCGCACCCTCTGTAGGCGCGTCGACCTTCGGCAAGGCAATGCTCGGAGTCGGCGAGACGTTCAGGTTGATGGCTTTCACCTGCTGGTCCAGATTTCCTGGGACATTTTGCACTTTCTGATCGCCGGCCGTCGTCCTGATGTCCTTCTCCGGATCGTCCGTCCTGTTCATGAATTCTCTCTTCAGTGCGGCCCAAAGTCCTTCGATCCACGGGTCCACCACCAGCTCCAGGCTGAAAACAATATGGCAGCCGAATGTTACCCAAACCACAACTAGTACCGCATGTTATATTCATTAAAGGAGAACTATGACATGAGTGATTTCCACTCACCTCATAGTTCTAAGCCGACCTGTGACAATGAGACTGTCACAGGTCGGCTCAGTAGATCGGGAGGTGAGCGAACACATACCGGCGTTCGCTCACCTCTCGATCCTGTCAGGGCTCTCTGCCGGGGGAGGGGCTGTATTCCCCCCTCCCCTCCGATCCGCCAGCGCTGACTGGCGGAACGGACGGGGGAGGGGGCGGGTACAGCTGGCTCTGCCTCTAGATAGGCAGAGCCAGCTGTCACTCACGCAGCTGGGCGGATCCAGACATCTAAGTCGGGATCCGCTCCAGGTGCGGCGTCTCAGTATATAGGGAGCTGTAGCTCGCGGTATACTGAGCTTAGGGTAACGGATGACGCTAGTTTGTGTCCTCCCGTTACCCTAAGGAGAACTATGGGGAAAAGCCCTGACCTTTAAAAGGTAAACTCTGGGATGAGGAAACATCGTCCCCATACCAGAGTCATGTGACTTCTCCCTGGTGAGCTTTGTGTATTTCTTCCAGATCTGTGCAGTCATCCAGTGTGAGACTTGGAGCTTCCTGTAATAAAGACCGGTCACTGCTACTCTCTCCTTGTGCAGGGTGACTGGTCTTGTCTCCACCCCCTCTTGTAATAAGGACCGCTCACTGCTGTTCTCTCTACTTGTGCAGGGTGACTGGTCTAGTCTCCGCCCCCTCCTGTAATAAAGACCGGTCACTGCTGTTCTCTCTACTTGTGCAGGGTGACTGGTCTAGTCTCCGCCCCCTCCTGTAATAAGGACCGCTCACTGCTGTTCTCTCTACTTGTGCAGGGTGACTGGTCTCGTCTCCGCCCCCTCTTGTAATAAGGACCGCTCACTGCTGTTCTCTCTACTTGTGCAAGGTGGCTGGTCTCGTCTCCGCCCCCTCTTGTAATAAGGACCGCTCACTGCTGTTCTCTCTACTTGTGCAAGGTGACAGGTCTTGTCTCCGCCCCCTCTTGTAATAAGGACCGCTCACTGCTGTTCTCTCTACTTGTGCAGGGTGACTGGTCTTGTCTCCGCCCCCTCTTGTAATAAGGACTGCTCACTGCTGTTCTCTCTACTTGTGCAGAGTGACTGGTCTCGTCTCCGCCCCCTCTTGTAATAAGGACCGCTCACTGCTGTTCTCTCTACTTGTGCAGGGTGGCTGGTCTCGTCTCCGCCCCCTCTTGTAATAAGGACCGCTCACTGCTGTTCTCTCTACTTGTGCAGAGTGACTGGTCTTGTTTCCGCCCCCTCTTGTAATAAGGACCGCTCACTGTTCTCTCTACTTGTGCAAGGTGACTGGTCTTGTCTCCGCCCCCTCTTGTAATAAGGACCGCTCACTGCTGCTCTCTCTACTCGTGCAGGGTGACTGGTCTTGTTTCCGCCCCCTCTTGTAATAAGGACCGCTCACTGCTGCTCTCTCTACTCGTGCAGGGTGACTGGTCTTGTTTCCGCCCCCTCTTGTAATAAGGACCGCTCACTGCTGCTCTCTCTACTCGTGCAGGGTGACTGGTCTTGTTTCCGCCCCCTCTTGTAATAAGGACCGCTCACTGCTGTTCTCTCTCCTTGTGCAGGGTGACTGGTCTCGTCTCCGCCCCCTCTTGTAATAAAGACCGGTCACGGGGGGGTTGTTGCAGGAACATGTGAAGGGTGGATGTTTAGAGACATGCGTCTTATTTCAGCCTGGAAGGATGTTACTATAGTGGTCGTTGTTCACCATTCCAGTCTCCTCCTTCTGTCTGTGGATGGCCTCTGCCTGAACACCCCTCGCCCTGATCCCCATCTTAGATGTGGCGGTGATCCCGCCATTAAAGCACTTCCTGCCCTAGGATGACAACGCTCCCGTAGCATTAGTCAGCTGGTGTCGCTTACCCTATAGAATCGTCCGCGTAGCCCGTGTCATAGAAACGTTTGGCGCCCAGTTCCTGGAACCTGCGGTCCACAATCTTTCCGCCGTTGCAGAAGAAGGTAAATTCAGTGTCGCCGAGGGCTGGAGGAGCATCAGAACGAGGAAAATGTCGCGTCACAAATCAGAAAATTATCAACAAAGGAATTGTATAAGAATAGGAAATGCACATAAAAGTGATCTACCTGCCCGCCTTAGTAACGTACACCCACCACCTCCCCCCTTCCTGTCTCAGGTAGTGATAAGTCTAGGGGTACCCCTGCATTTAGGTGTGCAGCAGTCCTCACGTAAGGAGAAAAAAAAATATCCTGCCCTGCAAGTGGGCTGTTCTGCATTGCAGACCTGTGTAAATCTGGGGACTGGATGGTCAGGAACACAGAAATTAGACGGGACCTATGGGGGTTGGTATGCAGTCAGATGTCCCGTGTGTGTGACACGCACCCAATAATCCGTATCGCAGGTGCGCCAAGTGGTCCGCCGGGAGCGCTTTGCTCTGAATCCCCCGCACAAATTTGGTTGCGGGCTCCGGGGGCTCTCCGGTCCCCGTGGTGGAGATGACGATGATCACAGGATCCCGCTCCTCCTCCAGATTAAACTGAAACACAAACATGGAACACATGTGCAATAAAATCTATGTAGATCGCTCTCCCCACACAGCCAGCCAATATGAGACTACAAATCCCAGCACCTCTCCTGGCAGTACAACAGATAAGGAACTACAAGTCCCACCAGCTCTAAGCTGCTTCTTAATATCTTTTTGTAGTCTCATTCTAGTTAAGCCGGCCACACGCTGTCCAGGTCCGGACTGGTGCATTGTGTCTGGAGTTCAGCAATCAGATCCGAGCCCAAATCCCCGCTGCTGCCGAGGTGCCCGGCTCTGTCCCGGTACAGAGTTCAGTATATCGCGAGCTCTCAGGTAAATCTGCCCATAGGAGCTCCGGAACCCTCCGTGCGCGGGCTGTACGGGCCCCTTAGTGAGACAGAGATGGCCACATCAGGAGCTCCGGGTCCCTCTATGCCAGGACTCTACGGGCCCCGCGCTGTGCCAGGACTCTACGGGCACCGCGCTGCGCCAGGACTCTACGGGCACCGCGCTGCGCCAGGACTCTACGGGCACCGCGCTGCGCCAGGACTCTACGGGCACCGCGCTGCGCCAGGACTCTACGGGCACCGCGCTGCGCCAGGACTCTACGGGCACCGCGCTGCGCCAGGACTCTACGGGCACCGCGCTGCGCCAGGACTCTACGGGCACCGCGCTGCGCCAGGACTCTACGGGCACCGCGCTGCGCCAGGACTCTACGGGCACCGCGCTGCGCCAGGACTCTACGGGCACCGCGCTGCGCCAGGACTCTACGGGCACCGCGCTGCGCCAGGACTCTACGGGCACCGCGCTGCGCCAGGACTCTACGGGCACCGCGCTGCGCCAGGACTCTACGGGCACCGCGCTGCGCCAGGACTCTACGGGCACCGCGCTGCGCCAGGACTCTACGGGCACCGCGCTGCGCCAGGACTCTACGGGCACCGCGCTGCGCCAGGACTCTACGGGCACCGCGCTGCGCCAGGACTCTACGGGCACCGCGCTGCGCCAGGACTCTACGGGCACCGCGCTGCGCCAGGACTCTACGGGCACCGCGCTGCGCCAGGACTCTACGGGCACCGCGCTGCGCCAGGACTCTACGGGCACCGCGCTGCGCCAGGACTCTACGGGCACCGCGCTGCGCCAGGACTCTACGGGCACCGCGCTGCGCCAGGACTCTACGGGCACCGCGCTGCGCCAGGACTCTACGGGCACCGCGCTGCGCCAGGACTCTACGGGCACCGCGCTGCGCCAGGACTCTACGGGCACCGCGCTGCGCCAGGACTCTACGGGCACCGCGCTGCGCCAGGACTCTACGGGCACCGCGCTGCGCCAGGACTCTACGGGCACCGCGCTGCGCCAGGACTCTACGGGCACCGCGCTGCGCCAGGACTCTACGGGCACCGCGCTGCGCCAGGACTCTACGGGCACCGCGCTGCGCCAGGACTCTACGGGCACCGCGCTGCGCCAGGACTCTACGGGCACCGCGCTGCGCCAGGACTCTACGGGCACCGCGCTGCGCCAGGACTCTACGGGCACCGCGCTGCGCCAGGACTCTACGGGCACCGCGCTGCGCCAGGACTCTACGGGCACCGCGCTGCGCCAGGACTCTACGGGCACCGCGCTGCGCCAGGACTCTACGGGCACCGCGCTGCGCCAGGACTCTACGGGCACCGCGCTGCGCCAGGACTCTACGGGCACCGCGCTGCGCCAGGACTCTACGGGCACCGCGCTGCGCCAGGACTCTACGGGCACCGCGCTGCGCCAGGACTCTACGGGCACCGCGCTGCGCCAGGACTCTACGGGCACCGCGCTGCGCCAGGACTCTACGGGCACCGCGCTGCGCCAGGACTCTACGGGCACCGCGCTGCGCCAGGACTCTACGGGCACCGCGCTGCGCCAGGACTCTACGGGCACCGCGCTGCGCCAGGACTCTACGGGCACCGCGCTGCGCCAGGACTCTACGGGCACCGCGCTGCGCCAGGACTCTACGGGCACCGCGCTGCGCCAGGACTCTACGGGCACCGCGCTGCGCCAGGACTCTACGGGCACCGCGCTGCGCCAGGACTCTACGGGCACCGCGCTGCGCCAGGACTCTACGGGCACCGCGCTGCGCCAGGACTCTACGGGCACCGCGCTGCGCCAGGACTCTACGGGCACCGCGCTGCGCCAGGACTCTACGGGCACCGCGCTGCGCCAGGACTCTACGGGCACCGCGCTGCGCCAGGACTCTACGGGCACCGCGCTGCGCCAGGACTCTACGGGCACCGCGCTGCGCCAGGACTCTACGGGCACCGCGCTGCGCCAGGACTCTACGGGCACCGCGCTGCGCCAGGACTCTACGGGCACCGCGCTGCGCCAGGACTCTACGGGCACCGCGCTGCGCCAGGACTCTACGGGCACCGCGCTGCGCCAGGACTCTACGGGCACCGCGCTGCGCCAGGACTCTACGGGCACCGCGCTGCGCCAGGACTCTACGGGCCCCGCGCTGCGCCAGGACTCTAGGGGCCCCGCGCTGCGCCAGGACTGATGGCGGCTCACCTCGTCCAAATCCTGTAAGGAGAAAATGTCGGCAACGTAGCCGTGGCGATCTGCCTGCTGGCCAATTTCCTCGGCGATGGCTTTGGATTGCCCCTTCTGCGTCCCGTAGAGCAGCAGGAACCTCTTCTTGCGTGCGCCGCACATGGCCGAGCTCCACCTGTGCGGGACAAAGGAAATATAAGAAGCTTTAGGGCCCCTGGGGAGGGGACACACACACGAAAACATTCAAATGCGTCAACGAGCGATGCGTTAGGGCCGTTCGTTCGTTATGAATGGGCCGCCAAGGCACCGCAACGAATGGGCCACCAAGGCACCGTATATGTGTTCTAGTGCATCTGGTCAATGGCAAGGACAGTATTGTAAAAGCTGACCACATACTATACAATCCGATTGTACAATCTACCCGACCCAACCCCCAAGTAGGACATAAGTCGCCCCCAAACCTTGCTGGGGGGATGGGATCTTGTGGCTTAGGAATAGGGAACCCCTCAGACACCCAGATGGGATACCCCAATCTAAAATGGGTACCATACAACACAAACCTCAATGGGGGGAGGGGGTGACGGGGGGGCAGACTTAATCCTTTTTTGGCTTCGGGCAGCCAATCATCTCTCAGACAGCCGTCCTGGAAGAAGAACAGGCTACGGACTGGACCGGTAAGAGATTGTACAGATTGTAACGTGTGTGGCTGGGTTGGCTTTACATTGTGGTTACTAGATCTGAAGCAGATTGTACAATCACGATGGAACGTGTATGGTCAGCTGGAAGTTGAATCAATCCCCATTGGTGTGAAGGAATTTGCCTCCAACCCCCGAGCAGAGACTTTCCCGAGAATTGGTCTCGTTTACTAAAGCTTCCCAATCAATCTGATTGTACAATCGCCTTTACCAGAGATGGGTAATACAAAGACAAACCTAAAACAATCCATTCAGACCAGACCGTCTCCACATAGATAATGGCAGATCTAGAAGGAGATTGTACAATCAGATTGCACCGTGTATTGTCAGCTTTCATCTCGGCGCACACGTTACAGTCCGATTGCACAATCGGCATTAGATTTACCAACGAGTACGTAGTACGAGGGACGGCCTGATCCGATGGGTAAGGTAGGTCCTCCTATCACATGGATTGTATTGGCAGCAGGGTGACACCGGGAGGAGCGGAGACCGGGCGACACCCCACCGTGACGGCATCGCACATGTCGGGTCGTCTTATTGACGCCTGCCGGCGATCATCTTGGTGATGGACGCCGGCAGAGAGAGGAGGGGGACGTTCACCCGGCGGGATGAGGTATGCCGACGGGTCCCCTCCTCTCTCCTGACACCGCCGGGCTCTCTCAAACCGTGACCAAGTGTCCGACTTTTTAGAGGGGGGGTGACACCAAAATGACTGTCAGTCATTTTGGCGTCACCCCCCCAATGGTGGCACCCGGGTGCGTGCCGCTCACCCCCTGCACCACCCTTGTGACACCACCAATGGGCAGATTGTTACATGTATGGTGACCCCCAAGTGCCCATTCACGCCTAGATGTTTTGGGACCGTGCGTCAAACACACGTAAAAATGCACGCGTTCACAAAGCGCACACGAGAGCGAAACGTGCTCGCGGCGCTTTAGTCGGCTAATGGCACCCAAAAAGCGGCCCGGTGAAATCGTTTTACAAACGCGCGAGGAAAAAAACCCGGGACAGATACACGGGATTCTTTTCTGCGTTTGTCGCGAGTACAGGAACCCGCTTAAATCAATGGGGACGGGTGACATACGCGGAAAGAAGACGCAACGTGAACGCGGCACCGGTTCACGTCGGTCACCAGATTTGGGTGTTTTTTGACAGATTGGGAAACAATTTCTCGCCTACGGGGGAGGGGGGGGGGTACTCCAGCCGGTTGCCAGTACCTCTTCTGGTCATAAAGAGACACA